AAATAAGTATATAATCTAGTATAATTATAATTATTAACAAAATGGAATATTATAAAATAATCTCAACTTAAAATGAAAAATTATAAGTTTTTATAAAAATTTAAAAAATTTCAAATTTTTATATAAGCATACTTATTTATAATTACCTTTTTGAGTAATCTCAAGGCCTATATCTATAAGAAAAGATAACTGTATATATAATTATAATAATATTTATTATTTAATTAACGCTGCTGATAAGTATAATCTTAAGACTAACTATTTTTATGAATTATATAATACTATTCAGATTCCTTTGAAACTATAATACTATATTTAAACTAGCAATTTTTTTTATAATATTTGTAGATCTTATTTTAATAAAATTTAAATTTTTAAGTAGGTAAAAAAGAAGATCAAAAGTTTAATAAGAAGCAATAAAAAAATGTAAATGTATTATGATAGTGATTTATAAAACTTTAAAAAATTTAAGTAAAAATTATATATGTAAAATTTTTATTATAAATATTTTATTTTATAATAAAAATAAAATGTTGAAAAAAGTATAAATGTAAAACTATTTTAATAAATAGAAAAATTAATTATATTTATTTTAAAATCATATAAGATTATTTATTAAGTAAATCAGATTTAAAAATTTTTAAAAAATTTTTACCTATTTATCTAATTAAAATTGTTATATTAAAAATAATTAAATATTTTATTAAATATTAATTATTAATATATTATATTATTATTTATTAAAATTTTTGATAATAATAATAAATTTTACAAAATTTTAAAAATATTACTTTATAATAAATTTTTTTCAATTTAAAAATATTAAAAATTTATTTTATTTTGAAACTAAATATTTTTTATTTAAAATAATAAAAAATTATAATATAAATGTATTTTAAGAAAAAAAATATATATTATTTAATAGGAATATAAATTTATTTATATATGTTTTAAATAGTTAATTTTAATATTATTAACGTGTAATCCTTGTGAATTGTGATAGTTAGACAGGGTGTTTAGGTGGTAATTCTTTTAAGTTTACATAGTGACTCAATTCAGTTTAACTTAAGTTTTATAATTTACATGGTAATGTATTCTTAACAAGACTAGAAGTAAGATAGCTTGATTAATTTAGAGGTATAAAATATGTTTATTTTCGATAAATAATAAAATAAAAAATAAAAAAATAAGAAAGAATGAGAAAATTAAAAGAGTTAAAGTACTAAATATGAAGGTTAGGCTAAATGTCTCTAAAAGAACCACTAAAGGTATATCTAAAACAAGACTAAAAGGAAAACTAAAAGTGAATTAAAAGCGAACTAAAGTTTATATGATTTTATCGTTTTCTTTTTATATTAAATTTAATACATAGATGGATATAACAAATAAATCAAATATATCTAATATGTCTGGTATATTCATTATGTCAGATATATCAAATATGTCTAATATGTTAAATATATCTGATATGTTTGACATTTAGATCTATAATATACTGTACTATGTTCATCAATCTAATCTGGTTACAATATTATTAAATAATATTTTTAAAAATATAATTTTATTTTTTATTATAAATTTTAATTATAGTAATATAAATATAAATATATAAGTTATATTAATTATTAATTTATTATATAATTTTTTTTTAAAATAAATTTAATGTATTATTTATTAATTTAGTTTTTTATTTATTATAAATAATTTTAATTAAAATTTATAAATAAAATTTATTTAAAATATTACTATTAATAAATATATTTTATAAGATTATAAAAAAAAATTAGATATTATTTATTATTATAATATTATATAATTAATAAAAATATTAAATTTATTGTATTTTTTTTATTTTATTATATTATTATTAAAAAGTATTATATAAAAAGCATATATTAGAAGTTTATTAAGAAAATAGGATTCTGTAAATTTTTTTGACTAAAATTAAGACCTTATTACATTTTAATCTAATAACATTAAAAATTAAAATACAATAAAAAATGAAATAAGTACAATTATTTTAAATAAAATTTAATTTTAAAATTTAAAAATATTTTATTTTATAATTAATAAAAGCTAATTTAATAAAAAATTTTATAATAAATAAAATTACTTTTAATTTTAAAAATATTTTATTTAATATAATTTAATAATATAAAATATTAATTATTTAAAAATTTTAATAATTTTAATATTTAAATATTTTTTAAAAAAAATATTTTACTAATATTTTTAAAATAATATTAATGTTATTTGTAAAATATTATTATTTTAATTAAATTAGAATTAAAAAATTTTTATTACTTTTGAATATTTAGTAACTTTAAATATAATAACCTTTTAATATAATTTAAAATATAATTTTTACTATTTATTAATTATACATAGATTTTTAAAATTATTTATATTATATACTTTTATAATTTAATAATTTTTAATATATTATTAATTTATTTAAAAAATAAGCATTTTTTAATAATATTTAAGATATATTAACAAATATTTTTAAATACTATATATAAAATAATTATTATTAGATTTCTTTTATTAATTATTAGATGTTTTAAATAAATATTAATATATATAGATATAATTTTAATAAATATATCTCAAAATTAAACATAATTATAATAAAAATTTATATTTAATTTTAAAAATATATAATAAAATAAAAATTTATTTATATTTATATTTATTAATTAAAATATTTAATAATTATAATTTAAATGATAATTTATTAAAAATTTATATTTTTTATAATAATTATATTTATAAAGTATTTAAATATAATTACATAAATTTTATATTTATTAATTATTATTAAATTTGATATATTAAAAAAATATATATTTCATATTAATTACATTTATTTAAAATATAATTATTTTATAATAAAAATATAAAAATTAGAGATTGGATTCTTATTCATTTAACTTGAGCCAACTCAAGTTAAATTCTGATTCGAGTCAAGATTTTCTTGATTTGAGTTAGAATTTGAGTTGACTCGAATTAAAACTACTCAAGTCAACTTCAAATTTATGCTATATTTTATAAATAGCGTGTATAAACTGCATTTATTATATAATCATTAAATAAAAATTTTTAAAAAAATTTCCTTTAGTTCAGCCTCAAAAATATCACAAAATTTTGGCCCGCATTGTATTTTTCCAGCCCGCATTATGACTTTAAATTGAGTTTGACTCAAGTTTCTGACTCAAGTACTCTTCAAGTCAAAAATTTCTTGATTCGACTTTGACTTGAGTTAACTTTTCTGACTCGAGTCCAAATTCTAATGAAAATTATAAAAAAAACAATAATTTTAATTTTATATATTTAGAATATTACTAAAATATATTATTATTATAAATTTTATAAATTTAATTATTATATAAATTTAAATTTAAATTTAAATATATAAGTATTTTATAATAGAAAATGAGATAATTATAAAAAAAAATATTTTAATTTAAATTGTCTTTAGTAAAATAAGTTTAGTAATTAATTAATTTAGAAATATTTAATTTATAATATAGTTTTTAATATTATAAATAATAAGAATTTTTATTTAAATTTAATTATATTTAATTAATAGTAATATAAAATTTTATAAAACATATTATAAAAATTTTAACTTTATTTTATGATTTTTCATAAATAAATAATATAAAATATAATAAAAATTTTATCTTACAAAAGTCATTATTTTATTAAAAAAAATAAAATTTTGATTTTAAATTAATATAAAAATTATTAATTATTATAATTTTTTTTTTATTTATTTAAAAATATTATAAATTTTATTATAAATATTTTTTTAATAAATATAATTAAAATTAATATTAATTATAAGTAAAGTATAGTAAATTTAAAAAAAATAAGCTATAAAAAGATAAACTATTTTATATAAATAATAATAATTATTTAATTTAAAGTATTAAATAAATAATTTATTTAAAAAATTATAATTATATAATATTAAATTATTTAATAAATTTTCTGTTAATAATATTATTAATTATAATTATTATTATATTAAAATTATAATTTTAATTTACTTAATTTTTATAATTTAAATTTTAATTTTATTTGTATATATATATATAAATTTTTTAGTAATTTTAAAGAAAAAAAAAAAATTTAGAAAAAAATTTAGCTAAAATAAATATTTAAAAAAAGAATATGTATTTTTAATTTAATTATTAAAAGATTAATTAAAATAAAATTCAATATGATCTTTAAAATATTGATGTTTTATAATAAAAAGAAAGAAAATTTCAAATTTTTTTTTTTTTGAATTTGAAATTATTTTATTAAAAAAGAAAATCATATTTAGCTTATAATTAAAAATTTCTTTTATTTATTTTATTTTAAAAATTATATACTAATATGTAATTTAAAAGTTTATTATAATATTTATTTAGAATAATTACCTTTTTGATTTTTTTTATTATTATATTTGTTTTAGAATATTTCTATATTTTTATAATAATAAACATTATTTTATTTATAAATAAAAAAGAATGTATAATATATATAATTTTAGTAAAAATATCTAAATCACAAATATTAGATATTAAAAATTTAAAAATTTTATGTAAAAAAATTATTTATAAATAGTATTCATTTTGAAAATTTTTAATATTTAAAAATTTTTTTTTTTTTTTTTTAATATTACATATATGAATTTGATAAGATTTTTGATTTTAGTTATATCATCCAATAAAAATTGAAAAATAATTTTAGTAATTACCAGCGAACTTTACACAATTCCGATTACCTTTTTTATATTCCGAAATAATTGTGAATTATAAACTGATTAGGGATAAAAAATTATTGGTTTTTATATTTTTGGTTATATTACAACATATCTACGTAACTGTACAACTTTTTCAATTTATTTTTAAGGGGGTCCAAATTCTGACCCATCTTTTTTTACAAATTCCTTTTGTCGCGACCTTACACCACAAAAAAAAATTCTTTAACAAAAAATTATTAACAAAATGTTTGAAGCGCGTTTAAGTCAAGGGTCTCTTCTTAAAAAATTACTTGAAGCCATTAAGGAGCTTGTAACAGACGCAAACTTTGATTGTAATGAGACGGGAATTGCACTTCAAGCTATGGATAACTCGCACGTCGCGTTGGTGTCACTTTTGCTTCGCTCAGAGGGGTTTCACCCATACCGATGTGACCGAGGCTTCTCTTTAGGTGTTAACTTGAACTCTTTGAGTAAGATATTGAAATGTGCAGGAAACGATGATATTATTACTTTAAAAGCCGACGACAACTCGGCGGATAGTTTAAGTTTATGCTTTGAAAGTCCAAGTATGAATATATAATTGCTTTATTTAAAAATCTTTATTAATTATGTGGTCGTTAATCTGACTTCTACGATTTCTGATTTCGCGTTAATTTGTGTAACCTTTGCATTAGGTAATGAAAGGGTCAGTGAATATGAATTGAAATTAATGGACATAGATCAAGAACACTTAAGTATTCCTGAAACTGATTATGATGCGACAATTATCATGTCTTCGGCCGAATTTCAAAGAATCTGTCGTGATCTAATGGTTATCAGTGAGTCAGGTATAAAACTTGTTACATCATTATTGATTGGATATTATATTATGAAAGATTATTATTCATAAATTTTTTGTCATCTATCCTAAAGTGAGCGTTGATGTTGCAAAGGACGCGGTCGTATTTTCGGCAGAAGGTGAAATGGGTTCCGGAAGTGTAAAATTGAAACAAAATCCATCAGTTGATAAGGTTAGTTATTTCTTTGCTAATTTCAAAGCTTGCAAATTAAAGGTTAGATAATTATTAATCATTTTCGTTTATTTAGCCGGAAGAACAAGTTGTGATTGAACTCAATACTTCAGTATCACTCCAATTTTCCCTTAAATATCTAATGAATTTCACGAAAGGAACACCCTTATCTGATCAAGTTATGCTTGGTCTTTCGGAAAATATGCCTCTACTGGTGGAATATAAAATGGACGATGCTGGTTATATTAGATTTTATCTTGCACCAAAGATTGGCGAAGAATAATTTGGGATTTTTTTTTTTATTTTGAAAAAAAAAAAAAAAAATTAATAATAATAATAATAATAATTCTAGAATGTATATATAATTCGGCCCGAATTTATACTATACAATAATAAATTCAATAAAAATTTGTATAAAATGATCTGAAAGCTAATTTTGATCAAATGATTTTACTGTTTCGTCGCCAATGTGTAACGCGCCAAACTTACTTTTATGAGTTGAGTTAAGCCCGCTTTCACGTGAGCTTTTTTACCCTTGTTGCTTTTTGAATCCCAAACCTTCTAAAAAAAGCCCTTAAAGACTAGTAAAAAGACCAGCTAAACTAGTTTGATTCTAGTTTATGTTGAAAAAATCCACACACAGGAATGACCGTCGTTATCGTTATATAATTATGCATAATAAAATTGTGACGGTCATATGGTGTCCGCTTAACTTTACTATCTCCGAAAAATCCGAATAATTTTAGTATGAAGTTTTAGAAAGAGATCAACGTGTTTTATCTAATTTGTTAAATGTAAACAAATATTTTTTTTGGCGTTTGTTTTGATGTTTCTATAATAAATCAGAACCCAATATTTTTATTCAAATGAAAAGACGCAGCTTCGGTCGTATGTCATTATTGTTTTGACAAAAAAGTGTTCAGACTGACTGAAGAAAGGTTCAGTTCAATTTGATTATAAATTATAAATTGGGAATTTATTTATCTGTACCATAACAAAAAAGTCTTTTCACAATAAAAAAAAAAGTCTTACTAAAAAGAAGTAACAAGGTTATATGCAGAATTCTTCCAATTGTAATAACGCGTCTCTCGATAACCCTCGAGAAAGTCGGGCAATGTCGAATAATGCTCAAATTGGGGAACAAAATTTTATTCCAGCTTCTATGGTACAGAATATACTTGAATGGCAACGTCAAGCTTTAGAAAGTAATTTGAACGAATAAACAATTTTTTTTTTCTCCCTCCTCTCTGATATTTATCAAGAAATGACTGACATTTATCTATTATAAATAAAATTTATAAAGCTATTAGGGAACAAAATAAAGTTAACCATGTCACCCAACGACAAAATAATGCTCTTATTCAGAGAATTGATATGTTGCAGCATCGTATTAATGACTCTAAGCCCCACGACAAAGATTTGATGGACCTTGATAACGTGATGTCAGACACTGAAGACATCAAGGAAAAACTTGGAGAGTAAGCACGTGTTTAAAATGGAATTGTTTACAATTAATTAATCATTGCTAAATTTGTTGATTTTATATAAAGTAATCCACGAGGATCCTCTTCGAATGATGTATTATTCATTAAAGACATTTCTACTAAATTACGTCATTCACCTGATGTACTCCTGGAAATCGAAAGGTATTCATTCAATACATAATCTTTTGCTTGATTTTAATAAAATAAATTCTTTTTTGTTTCCTCATTATTATTATTATATCGTTTTGGAATCATGTAGGAGAAAACATTTGAAAGCTCTTGAGGATTTGAACGATGAATGGCATTATAAATACACAACATTGCAAACTAAATTTGAAACGCAACACAAAGCGTATCAAGAACTCAAAGAACACTACCAAAAAAGATCTGTTGAATGGAAACGTGTGAAAAAGTGGTTGGATGAACAAAAATATGTGCTAAAGAATCCCGAATGTACGAATGAATCGACTAATAAAGATACTAAAGTTCAATTTGAAAAATCTCCAACGATCATTCATGATATCATTAATGATTCAAAGACAGGTGCTCTTACCGAAGTGACAAACACGCGTAACCAAAGCTCTCCTCAAAATCTTGAAAATGTTGCATCAACTGATGAACACGTATCTGATGTCAATAAGGCATTGATACTTGGGTCATCATATAATAAAGGTGATGATGATGTTTTTTGCAAGGATAATATTCGAACTTCACATGATATATTATCTTCTCCGAATCTATTACCTGGATCAATGTTGAAAAATGATCTTGATAAAACACATAATCTTGAGTCAAAACCCATTTATCATGATCGGGATTGGAACCAAGACTACGTTGACCTACGAAATGACTTTGATCACAATATGATTAATGTAAATACGGAAATTCAAAATTCAAACAAAGGAAATGAAAATGATAAAGAACCGAAAAATAAAAATAAAATCTTGGGATTACTCGAAGGTACAACGCCCGAACTTGCGATTAATCTTGAAGATAGCTTTTATGAATTCACTTTGGATGATGATGACCAGTCATCAAACAAGAAAAGGACCATAGATAAAATGATCAAGCAAGAGGAAATTGAGAACGATGAATTGTTTTCTGCTGAAGTAACTAATAAACGTTATAAGCCTTTAACTGTTAAACCAAGAGATGATTTACGAGAAGGATTCGAAGAGGATGAAGAGTTTGATGAAGTTCACATAAGAACTCCTTATAGCGATCGTTTCAAACCGGATTCGAAAAGGTCGCATGCATCAACTGACTATATGTACGAAGATAACGACGCTGATTATGTCGATCCTTTGATACCTATTACACCACCTTCCATTGTGAATAAATGCGTGACCAATAATAATAGTGATGCTTCTAAACAAGGAGAAGGTTATAGATACATCGAAACTGTACGAAAGAAGAACGAAAGACGCCAATTGATGGCGCAAGATTGTCGTGATTGTCGTAAAGTAAATAATTTCATATATAATCAAAAGAAAAATTAACATTTATTTATTATTTTCTATATGTTGAAATATTCCTTTCCTAGTACTATGAAATGACAGGTTTCAGTATGTTACGAACATGTGATCATAGCCAATCGTCGGTAAATGATTTAGAAACCTTAATACAAAATAAGAAACAGTTGCTTTCGCGGCATCGTGCCAAATATAGTCGTCCACAAACTCCACCGGGTTTCTGGAAAGTTGGTTTCCCATCTTCACAAGAAATTGCAGAAATCAACGAATTATCAGTCAAGTATGAACGAGAAAGGGAAGAACAAAAGAAGAGGGAGGTGGAATTTGCTAAATCTCGTGAACGAAGATGGACAACAAAATAAGGATGATGTGAATACAATCAATTTCAAAAGTGAGACCAGCATCAAAGTAAACAGGCAAAACGAAAAAAAGAAAAAAAAAAATTATTATTAATTATTATTATATATAATCTCTCCAATTTATTAATTTTTATTCACATTAAAGGGTTCAATTCATATTTGGTATTTATAGTTAATCTTTTATTGTAATAATAATAACATTTTTTATCTACGTGAATAATTAGGGATACAACTATATTAGGTAGAACGATTATATAAAAAATACATGATTTATCATCATTATTCGTTATTCGTTATTCGTCAAACAAAACATGTGACAACGTGTAATGAATTATTTCAAAAATAACGAACGTATTACACTGTCAGTTTATATAATCTTTTCTATAATAGTATCGTGTTACATTCCCGTTGCGTAACAGTAAATCAACCCATCCATCTTTCAAACCCTGACTTTCCCCTATTCTTGGTAGAATGATAAGTGTGATACATTAATCATCACCGCTAAAACTAATCTGCGTACCACAACCACTCTCAAAAGAAAATTTTTTATTTTACGCGTCCGCTAATATTAAACTTGCATAACTCACATATCTTATTGCAATTTTGAAACTATTTCAACAAAATGTTGATAACTTTTCTCGTTAAACGAGAAATGGAAAAAAGTATAATTATAAGTTCTTTGAACATAGGAAAAACCTAAAAAACTTCACCAATTCATACATCTTTTTTGATAATTCAAACGATTAGGAAAAAATTAAATATGGTTCTCTGATTATCCCTTTATCTAAATATCATCTCAATCAATATGATGATAATAGAAATCCGGTAAAAATTCTAAATTGGTATAATATTATTATTCCTATGAAAGTTATTTTTATTTATCAAAAAAATAAAATAAGGGACATTTTTTTTAATTAATTTTTTTCAATGTACAAAACATTATAAATCAATAACACCTTGGTTATTATGAATGGTTGCAATGTTTTAGTTTGTTCTCGAGAATTTTTTTTTTTTTAGTTAGATTAAATAACTTATTAAAAACATCCATTAAAGGTAAAATATTCAATCTCTACATGTATTAATTAATTACCAATTCGAATTCGGGAATTGATTAACCGAACGAAAATGTGCGACTTTGCACAAGAATCTACTGCGCTTTTAAATTCAATCCTTGCGATAATTACTTCACGTCACTCCTCTCAAACAACTAACCTCTTAATAATAAATTTACTTATTATAATCCTTTGCAAATTGTCTTCAAATATGTATATTTTTTGAACTAGTTTGTATTTGTGTGATCACGCCATATGATGCATGACCTAACAAAATTAATGCGCCGACCACAAAATTTGTTCTCGCCAATTACCGTGATGTTTCGATGAACTCTCAACATTTTTTTTTTTTTTAGACAAATTATTTGCCAAGAAAAAAAAAGAAACACATGTAATACGTATTGGTGATTTTCGTGATTAAAAGAAATTCGCTGCGGCACAAATAAAATCGATCGGAAACGATTAATCGCGATTAAAAATTTTCTGTATATCAAAGCAAACCAATACAAAAATGTGTATTGGTTCCGTGAGGGAACGCACCTAAAAATAGAAACGTAATTAAATATATTTGATGATAAAAAAAAAAAAACAATTATTAATTTGAATTCTTAATTCATATTTGAATATTTGATGCACTCGATAATTAGGAAACACCTAAATTTAGGTAGAAGGATTGTAAAATAAGTTACACAATTTACATTATTATCCGTTACAAACAGCATTACCATGTGAGTAAATGAAAAGTTCCTCTAAACTTAAAAATCATTACGAAAATATGTATATCGATATAACCATATTCATTAATAGCATCGTGTTACTCTCGCGTAACAGTAAATTTGCCCTTCTTTTCCTTTCTTTCAAATGTCTAAAAAAAAAAAAAAGAAACCAAACTTGAAACAAAATAATATTTATGAGTAATCAAAATATTTATTCGGAATTACAATCGTGTTACAAATTCTACTTTACCCCTTTGGTTCTTTGGGTTATCTATAAAATGGATGTGATCATTAATCATCACCGCTTTTCGCTAAACAAATCTGCATATCACCTCCACAGCTGATTTTCTTTTTTAAATAAAAAAAATGTTGTAATAACTTGCCCTACCCGACGGTCGATGTTTACTACTTGTCTACACTCTCTTTCAAAAAAAAATAAAATAAAATAAGAAAAAAAAAAAAGGGAATAAAATTTTATTTTACGTGTCCTCCAATATTAAACTTGCATAACTCACATATCTTATGCAATGACCGAACTAACCTTAACCATTTCAACAAATGTTAATAATTTATCTCGTTTACCGAGAAATGGGAAGAGTAAAAATCATTCTCCTCTAACGGAAGAAAATTTAAAACTTCATACTGGGATGGTATGTTCGTTTTCTTTCTTTTATTTAACGCTTATATAATATATTATTATTATTATTATTATTATTTTACATCCGTCCAGATTTAGTACTCGTGTAATATGTTACGGATAATTAAATCGATGAATTAATGTAGTTTAGCTTAGAACATTCATTATTGTGAAATTAGAAATATTAACTTGCTTAATTTATTTGATCAAGTTAATAATAATGATGATTTTTTTTTTATTTTTTATAAAAACAAAAAGGTTATATCTTCACTTACCGTACCCTTCTTCATAATTTAGATGCCTTCGTCACGAGAAACCAAAACGCATTTTGTATTGGTATACGTTGATTTACAGAAAAAATTAGTTGCTTTGGAGGCTCAATTAAGAAAAGAAGCTCAAGAAGCCGAAAAAAGATTTAGTGCATCTTTACCAGAAAATACACCACCTGTCATACCTGAAGTAATAAATGTACCATCATTATCAAATTCTAGATCAATTCCTAAGGATAAAGGACATACTTCACCCTTTCCAACAAATGATATTTATTCGATTGAACCTGAAGCAATCCCTAAACTTTTGGACTCTGTAATAGATCATAGAAGAAAGTCACAACGCATAAAATTCATATTTAAAAAAACTGCAAAGAAATTATCATCTGTAATAGGGAAACCATCCAATAATAATAATAATAACAATCATAATAATAATCATAATCACCATAACTTAACTTCGTCTCCTTTGACATCTCATTTCGATAGAGATTTAGCGTCTTTAAGAGCACAACCTTCAATACCACCATCACCTTCTCAGTCAACCGTAAGATCAAGGAATTCTTCTCATCGAAAAGCACCTTTTATTACCCATTTATCAAAACCAGTTCCTAACAGGACCAATAGTGCGGACACAATGCACACCCTTTCTGTTAATCCAACGACTCCCTCATCATCTCTTAATAATAACGTTTATAATTATAATTCTTCCCCTTCTTTACCCCCTACTCCAAATACGATAACCCATTTTAATGTGGAAAAAAGGCATGAACTTTCTTCATTAATAAATAACTCTACACCGCCTTCTCCTGTTATTGAAAAGTGCGAAAACGATGCTTGTAAGGTACATCGTGATAGCGGAATCTCTTTGGTATCTCCCGTAAAGCCTGGTCATCATTCACGTGAACACTCAATTTCTTCAATATTACGGAAGATGGGAAGTCGTCATGCTTTTCAGAAAGAACATCATCATCAATTTGATGGTCATCGTAAGGAAAGGGGTTGGGCCCCATTTTCACCCAAGGATAATGATACGGAATTATTAGCATTTCGTTATCCAAGTATACATAATACTGATATTTATATTCATAGAGATTCTAGTGGGATGGAGGAACAAGATAATAGTAGCAGCAGCGGCGTTGCGCTCATTTCAGAATTAGATGGTAGTACTGGGAAACAAAAAGAAAGAGAACGCTCAGTGACATTTGATTTGGATGATCAACAAGCGTTAACATCAGATGAAGAAACCGGATTGGATAAGAGGAAGGGAAATAGAGGCTTAAATTCAACAGTGATTCCTCATATTGATTTATCAGATTTGAGTAGTTTACCTATGATGGATTTTAAATAATGGAGTTATTTAAATATATTTAAAAACCCAAGCGAACAATCTTTACCTGTATCAAAAAGCATATTCATAATTCATGAATAACTTCCGATTTTTTTTTTTTTTTTAGCTTTAAATCTTAATCAATTTTACAAAAGAAAAAAAGGGGGGTAAATTACCAAATTATATTAATTGAATAGTGGAATGATTTATAATGTAAATAACGGATATATTTCGAATTAATAGGGAAACGGTATGTGCAAAAAATAAAAGGAAAAAGAAAAAAAAATAAAAAATAAACTAAAAATGTTTTTGGTTTAATAATATTTGAAAAAATCACATCATTAGTAAAAGGAATAAAACGTTTATATTGACAACAGATCAGATTTATATTTTATTATACAATTTTTTTTTGGTAAATTAAATAATTTTTTACCAATACAGGATTCTATTATCAGCATATATATAATAAAACATTGAATTTAAATAATCATTTATTTAATACCTAATTCCTTGGGTCATAATCGAGAAAAACAAATAAAATGATAATAAACGGAGAACCATATTTTAGTTTTTTTTCTTTTGCCTTAGCAATGGAAACAGTATTATAGTAAAAATATATATAAATAAATAAATAAATACACTCACATCCTATATTTACACACTTCAGAACAAGGAGCTGTATCTCCATGGAATTCATAAGAAATCTCTATGTCCAAGTCTCGATTGTTTCGTTTATTAGGAGCGCAAGATAAAGTACCCATGATGGATTCACCACTTTTTATAGTGATGGCGTCAGTAGTATAAAAAACAGTCTGTTTCCAATGTGTGTATTTAGCATGTGGACCTATATGATTTCGAATAATCATCATTAACGAATGTTATAAATACGATAATAGTAAATATATATATATATAAGTAAGGCTATAAAACAAATCAAACCTGTACTAAATCTAATTGGTTTATGACAAGCTGAAAAAATAATATCAAACCATGCGATAAAAGCGTGAATATAATCATCCCTTGTGGCAGTTAAATTAAACTGTACACAGAAGGATAGATCGGATTTTTGAACAGTGTATATATCAATCTCCTAAAGAGAGAGAGAGAGAGAGAGAGAGAGCGGCAAAATATTTGGTAAGATAATTAAAAACGCACTCTCTGAAATATCTGAAATATGATGATACCTTTATGGAATATGGACTTGTTACTATAGCTTTAGCGTCCACGGTGTCCACTAGAGGCTCCCTAAGGGCAACAGATTTAATTGAACTAAAGTCAAACCCATAAACATTATCCCAGACTGTTGAAATATAAAAAAAAAATCATTGGTTACAATATTAAATAAATTAAAATTCATAAAAAATATCGTATTTACATCCGATTTTTTCTTCTTTATATTCACCATCTTCGATGGCTGCCAGATAAATTGTTGCTTTGTCTGGAAATATTAACCCACCCTGTCTCTAATTAATCATATCGAAAGACAACGTTAATCATTTGATCAATTAACACATTTAATAACGAATTATTGATTACTTACTAAGTATTTGTCGCGCGCAACAAGCACGGTGTCAAGCATAGACTCATAAAGCAAAAAATACCCCATCCATTCTGAGATGATAATATCAACTTTCTCAACTGGAAGTACGACTTCTTCCATTTTGCCTTTGATAAGGGTGATCTCTAAAAGGCATACAATGATCATAAATACAATATTCTGATTGGGATACAAGAGTATAAAGATATTACTAATCCGTACTATCATCTAAGTTATTATCAACGACAATTTGACGCGCTTGATCAATAATATTTGACATGTCAATCTAAGAATAAAAACTAAATTAATTATTTAAAATTATAATAATAAGATAACTTTATATGACACTTACTCCATAAACATGCTTAGCTCCAGCTTTGGCTGCAAACATTGACAATATTCCAGTTCCACAACCAACATCAAGAACGATTTTATCTTTAAAAAGATGCCGGTTTTGGTAAATAGACGAACGGTAAGAAAGCGTTCGAACTTCGTCTTTTAACATTTCTTCATGTATGCCGAAATGAGCGTATGAATCAAAATAATAGTCTTTGCTCGTCATTTCTACATTTTCAATTTGATCATGACTCGAAGGTTCAGCCATCTGTGCTTGTTGTGGGTCAACCATTATTGCTGGTTGGTCGGCCATTTTTCGTCGTTGATAGAGAATCAGATATTCCCGAGATTAACTTCAAGGTGTGACATCAACATCGTGTGATGAAAATTGTCCTGTTTGTAGTAAATGTTAATGCATAATAGGAAACAAAAGGAAAACTCCATATAATCACGTGATGAATGATTATATCCGCAGCTAGGCAGTATTATAAAAACTGCTTAGTTATCAAAGCGGTCATTTTTCTCAAAGTTTTAAAATGAATCGATTTAGTACTCAAAATACTCAAGGTACTCAGGACGATGAGAATTTTTCTTTTTTGGAATATTCCGGGGGAGATACTCAAGCTTCGCAATATGATTATGACTTTTCACTTGAATCTCAACAAACCAATACATTTCTCGACGGCTCGCAGTCTCAATTCGTTGAGCCAGATTTATCCGGTGTAGGTGTTGACGAATTAGACGCGTTCCAAGACCTTGCTATTGTTGAAAGAGAATTACCAGAACACTCATGCAGGTATGTCATAGTCCTTTTTTTTTTTGATTAACCCATTTAAGGTTGCCTAACGTTTTAAGCCTATTTCGCTAGGTATTGCGGTATACACGCAGTAAATTCGGTAGCCAGATGCGTGACCTGTAACAAATGGTTTTGTAATTCTCGCGGAAATACCTCTGGTTCTCATATAATCAATCACCTTGTTCGGGCAAAACATAAGGAAGTCGCTTTGCACCCGGAATCGCCACTTGGCGAAACGACGTTGGAATGCTATAATTGTGGCTGCAGGAACGTCTTTTTATTAGGATTTATTCCGGCTAAGAGTGACACGGTTGTGGTATTGCTTTGTCGGTAAATTTTAAAATGAATTAACCAAATTTTTCTCAGTTTTTTTTTATTTAAAAAAAAAAAAAAATTATTGATAAAAAAAAAACCCTTTTCTCATAAACTAGGCAACCTTGTGCTGCAATGCCTAGCAGTAAAGATATGAATTGGGACACCTCTCAGTGGCTTCCTCTCATTGATGATCGTTGCTTTCTTCCATGGCTTGTTAAAGTACCTAGCGAACAAGAACAACTTCGAGCTCGTCAGATCACTGCACATCAAATTAATAAGCTCGAAGAATTGTGGAAAGATAATACAGAAGCAACTCTTGAAGATTTAGAAAAACCTGGTATTGATGATGAAGCACTACCTGTTTTATTGAGATACGAAGATGCCTATCAATATCAAAATATTTTTGGACCTTTGGTAAAGATGGAAGCTGATTATGACAAGAAATTGAAGGAATCTCAGACTCAGGACGATATTGTAGTACGATGGGATGTTGGGTTAAATCAAAAGCGCATTGCTTGGTTCTACTTGCCAAAACTTGAATCAGGGGGTATGTTACATTATTAATTCATTATTAGAATTTAAAAAATTGCTGATCAGAATTACAATATTTATTTTATATGAAAATTTTTTCCCCCTAGAGGTTCGTTTGGCTGTCGGCGATGAATTGAGACTTCGTTATCGTGGTGAATTGCATCCATCATGGGAGTGCGTCGGTCATGTAATAAAAATACCAAACAGTAAGTCAATAATAGAATATTTAACTTTCTATCATATAATTATCTTACTACTACGTATATTGATATATAGATGTAAGTGATGAAGTTGGCTTGGAGTTGCGTCGTAGCGATAATACTCCAGTAGAATGTACGCATAATTTTTCAGTAGATTTTGTGTGGAAATCCACTAGTTTTGATAGAATGCAAGCTGCAATGAAAACATTTGCTGTAGACGAAACCTCAGTTAGCGGTTATATCTATCACAAGCTTTTAGGTCATGAAGTAGACCCCCAAGTCCTGAGAACACAAATGCCAAAAAGGTTCATATATTTTTTAAAGTTATATAAGTTATATATTATTTATCCATGAGCCATTTCAAGAATTATTATATTATATTGGAGTTGTTAATGTTGACATTTATCTTGATATTTATCTCTGTGATTTAGATTTTCTGCTCCAAACTTGCCAGAATTAAATCATTCACAAGTATATGCAGTAAAAAGCGTTTTGCAAAAACCTCTCAGTCTCATTCAAGGTCCTCCCGGTACTGGTAAAACTGTTACTTCAGCCACCATTGTTTATCATCTCGCCAAGATGAATCCTGGTCAAGTTTTAGTTTGCGCACCATCAAATGTTGCTGTAGATCAGTTAACCGAAAAGATACATGCAACTGGACTCAAAGTAGTTCGTCTCACCGCAAAATCTCGTGAGGCACTTGATTCTCCTGTATCATTTCTCACATTACATGAACAAGTGCAAAATAATGATACTCATGTCGAACTGCAAAAATTAATACAGCTCAAGACAGAACAAGGAGAATTGAGCAGTTCTGATGAAAAAAAATACAAGATGTTGAAACGTGCATGTGAAAGAGAAATTTTGCAGGTATGTAATAAAAAATTTAAACCGGTCTTCTCGGCGTTTTTAATTTTGTTCAATTATTAATTTGAGCAATGATTTTGAATTAGAATGCCGATGTCATTCTTTGTACATGTGTGGGTGCTGGTGATCCACGTTTATCAAAATTCAAATTTCGCACCGTTTTAATTGATGAAGCTACACAGGCAACTGAACCTGAATGTATGATACCGCTTGTGTTAGGATGTAAACAAGCTGTTCTCGTCGGTGATCATCAACAGCTTGGCCCTGTAATAATGAATAAAAAAGCTGCTAGAGCAGGATTGTGTCAATCACTTTTTGAACGCTTAGTTATTTTGGGTATAAGGCCTATTCGACTACAAGTTCAATATCGTATGCATCCTTGTTTATCAGAATTTCCTAGCAACATGTTCTATGAAGGTTCTTTACAGAATGGAGTTACTACTCAAGATAGATTGAGAAAACACGTGGATTTTCCTTGGCCAGCCCCGGAGACTCCCATGTTTTTCCATTCAAATCTAGGCCAAGAGGAAATTTCAAGCAGTGGAACTTCCTATCTGAATCGGTGAGGATACTTCGAATCCTTTTTGGTTTTTTTAATGGTTTGACTTAAATTTAATAATTTATAATTATATAAATGAAAGTACGGAGGCTTCAAATTGCGAGAAAGTTGTCACAAAGTTCTTAAAATCAGGAATTTTGCCGGCTCAAATAGGAATAATTACTCCATACGAAGGTCAAAGGAGTTATGTTGTTAGTTATATGCAATTTAATGGCTCTTTAAGAAAGGAATTATATAAAGAAATCGAAGTAGCAAGTGTTGACGCTTTTCAAGGACGTGAAAAAGATTATATAATATTGAGTTGTGTCCGAAGCAATGAACATCAAGGAATAGGGTTTTTAAATGATCCTAGAAGATTGAACGTTGCTTTAACTCGGGCACGTTATGGTGTTGTAATTTTAGGTAATCCTAGGGTTCTAAGCAAGGTATGAAATCATTTCACTTGTTATGGGAATTTTAATTTCATTGGACATGAATATTAAATTCTATCTTTTGCTCTATAGCACCCTTTATGGCACCATCTTCTTGTACATTATAAAGATAAAAATTGCTTAGTGGAAGGTGCATTAAATAACTTAAAAAAGAGTATGATACAATTTAGACCTCATAGAACTTATCGAAAGGATGAAAAATTTAGGCAAGGTTTAGTACACCAAGTTGATGCGCGCGAAGCATTTGCCAAAGCTCCTCTTGCTAGCGAAAGTATGTATCATATCGGTTTTTTATAACACGTTAAAAAATAATCATTATTCATTTACAATGAAATAATTTATGCTTTTAGATCGTCGTGGTAGTCGTGCTTATGACTCAGATTTCATGAGGACACATGATCCCGTTGGCTACATTCCTTCTGATATGAACTCCATTCCATCATCATCTCATTTCAGCATTCCCTTACTTCCAACACCAAACGGACCATTTACCCAAGATTTATCACAGAGTAGTGTTTCTAGCAGGAAAAACGCAAAACAACAAAATTCTTCTTATGGCGGGTATACCAATTCAATTTCATCTCAAGGTCCATTAACTCAAAACGCATATAGTAGTCAAGGATCTATGAGCCTCGCACTATCTCAGTCTGATCGGCTTCGTATGATGGAGAACCCAACTTCTTTAAGCCACGGCTCCCTAATGTCACAAGATAGTTCGATTGGATATTTGGACGATTACAAAAGTCAAGGAAATGATACTATTTTAAGTCAAGACTTCGAGATTCGGTCTCAAACGGGATGCTAGGGATGTTAACAGTCAAGTCTTTTCAGACTAGCCTTTTCGGTCTATGGCCGGTCCGGGCCCCGCGGTGACGTCAATTTTATAGACCGTAAAGAATCCAGGCTGCTTTATTATGTGATCTTATTTAGATGAGTGGCCTCTGATACGGATCAAGCATATATGACCAACGTTTTGCAAAGACCGCAGGACCCGACCGTTATCATCCCTACAGGATGTATTAATAATTATAAAAGTAAGTTACCTAAATTTTCTCGCGTTAAATGTGTTAGAATTGTCATAAATTGATTATTTTATATTTATTTTTTTATAATTATATGCATTCTTTAGGTGTCATTGTTATAAGAATAAAAATCATGTTCGTAATACTACTATCCAAAATTTAGATTTACAAGGTTAATTTAATAGGATTAAATTTTGTTAATGTTTCTTTATATTAATGTTTACTTTTTTAATTTTTATACAATTTTTTTTTTTAATTCATATTACCCATATTATTTTTATATATGATATTGTTCGTTTAGTTTAATTTAAGGGTAGATGAGATATATGAATAAAAACCTAATGTTACTATTTTTTGCTAATATTTATACGTAACGGAGGTTCATAACTAATTTATATAATTATGATAAAAACTTTTATAAAAATAAATAATTTTTTCTATATATATATATATATTTTATAATAATTTAAAGTAATTGTTGCAGCATTTTTCAATAAAGAAAAAATTCGTGTAACTATAATTGATTTATATTTAACTATCGCAAAAAGTTCTGAATTGATGCTGAATTGTTTGTCCAAATTGGCGTCGATTT